TTTTCCCACAGAGGAGCAGGCCTTCAGGAAGAGGCGACTCTGCATCAAGTTTATTCCTCGGGACTCCACAGAGGCGGCCATCTGTGACATCCGCATCCTGGGGCGCTCAAAGCAAGCCCCCCCTCAGTACACCTTCATAGGGTGAGCAGCTTTTTGAAATGTTATATTTACCACTGCAATCACACACAGTATTCCACAATGTTCAATTATTTAATAGATACTGCTTAACTGTATGCATTCCTTTTGATCTAATAGTGTTATTCTTGTTTTTCGTCTCCGTCTATACTGCTGTACCCTACTATGGGACGAATAAAGGAAATCTGATTCTGTTGATGTCAGTTTAGGTTGTACACTTGACAAATACATGTTATTATAAAATCTCAATCTTCAAGGTAGGGTAGGTAAGAATGGAGAAACCAGTTTGAGTGCGCTAGAATTTGAAAGTACGCAGCCGGAAAAAATCTGCCCCTTCCTTCAGACTTCCTTACAGAGCCCCTCCTCCAACACACACGAACGCGCACTAGTGTTAATTTCGTTGACTAAAACTATGACGAAATATGTTCGTCAACGACCTTTTTTTCCATGACGAAAACGAGACGATGACGAGACGGCACCGACGGCAGTAAACGATAACTGTAACGAAATCATCATGCAATATCGTTGACGAAAAGTGACGAGACGAAAATGTAGTTCACTAAATAAAAACTATGCCAAAATCTCTCTTTACTTTCGTTGACGAGAAATGAGGAGACGAAATATTATCAAAGATAACATTACATCTCTGATAGGCAGTTGTTCTCCCATGCAGTTCCATTTCCGGTGCAGCGGCATGGGCAGCAGCTGTGTGTCCGTGCTGCGGCAGGGCAGTAGCTGTGTGTGTCCGTGCTGCTGAATTACACCGGGCAGCAGCATAATATGAACTGTCAGGAAGACTCGGGTCTAACTAACCTTATTTAACAGAAAATGAAATGGCAACAGGGCTTGGGAGCAGTGGTCGCACTCGCGTTAACCGAATACCCCCGTCAGCGCGAGTGAGAGATAAATTGTGCACTCGACGGATAATAATGGATTATGACGGAAATGTTACGATCCTGTCCGTCAAAATGACTGACAACGAAAAAGTCTAAAGCCACCACTGCTTGGGAGAAAGAAACGATGTGATATTTGGGCCCATTTTCGCTCCAATGAGGCGGAGAAAAAAAGCGAATGCATTGTTTTATCAGAAGGGAAGCAATGTGGCCAAAACACAGAAAACACCACAAACCTGAGCAGATCCTCTGCAAAGCTTCTTAATCATTCAACCTGAGTTTTTCATCAAATAAGGACAAGATATAATCTTATTTATTTATATATACTAAAATGACAAATTATTGGTTTTGGCTAGACTAGTTTGACTGAAATGTTCTATATAATCTGATGACTAAAAAAGACTTTTTTCATTGACAAAACAGTTGACAAAAAGTAGACTAAAATAATTAGTTTGCTTTGACTAAAATAAGATTAAAATGCTCAGACTTTTAGTCGACTAAAACTTGACTAAATAAAAACAGGATGAAGGTGACTAAATATGACTAAAACTAAAAAGGAATTTAACACAGGACTAAGACTAAATAAAAAAAATAGCTGACGAAATTAACACTAACGCGCACATGACCAATGAGGGCACGAGATAAGTTTGTGCCCAGATGGAAGGCTGACAGGCAGGTAGGCCATCCAGTTACTTTAGCCGGCTCAGATGATTGGTCGTGCTTTTTACAGCGCCACGGCTTCATGAGATATTTGTATGTATTTATTGTCAAAGCACTTCATGTATTCATTGCTATCGGGATGTTAAGAGCATTCCATGGAATATAACAAAACGTTTTTCTGAAGTGAATTACCTACCCCACCTTTAATAAGGTCTCACAATCTGAACACTTTTATTATCCGGTGGTAAATTAGCTCTTGGATAGTTGCTTAATTTTAAAATAGAATTCAATAAAAGTATGTATACTAACAAGTGAACTAAAAGTAAGGATGTGCAGTAAAAAGATAAGTAAAATTAGAAGATATTTCTATTAAAGGTGGGGTAGGTAATTCACTTCAGAAACACTTGTTGTTATATTCCATGGAATGATCTTAACGTCCCGATAGCAATGAATATATTAAATGCTTTGACAATAAATACATAAAAGAAGCCGTGGCGCTGTAAAAAGCACGACCAATCATCTGAGCCGGCTAAAGTAACTGGATGGCCTACCTGCCTGTCAGCCTTCCATCTGGGCACAGCTTACCTCGTGCCCTCATTGGTCATGTGCGCGTTCGTGTGTGTTGGAGGAGGGGCTCTGTGAGGAAGTCTGAAGGAAGTGGCAGATTTGTTCCGGTTGTGTTCTTTCAAATTCTAGCGCACTCGAGCTGGTTTCTCCATTCTTACCTACCCCACCTTTAACACAGAAAGTTAAAGGCTAATGTCGAATAAAAGATCAATTGAAATAAAAATATTAATATGTCTATAAACAAATAAAAATATGTGTATTAACAATATTAAGATATTATATTATTTCATGTAGTTGGATTGAAATAGTGGTTTAAACTAAAGAACTGTTCAAAAACTGATTTTCTTTTTTGTATAGCTTTTTCAAGACGTTGAAGCACACGGATTTATTTTCACACCTTTTCAGAGTTACTAAGTTACTAAGTTACTATGCTGATTATTAGAGCATGCAGCATGTCTGAAAATATCTGTTTGGAAAAAAAGATCAGCACAGAAGTCACACAGTCGTAGGGTTACAACATTCCAGGACTTTTCAAAGATGGAAACTTTCCATGGGAATAAACGGGAATAACCTTTTCAAAATTGAAGGTTGGCTCTTCATAGGGAACTTGAATATAGTTGGGGAAAATATATTTTAACATAATCTTGACTAAAACAAACGGATGCCTTGAATATATCCATGCCATTCCTCAATCACATCAATCAATCAATCAATAGCATACGGCTGTAATAGGCCTAAGGCCTTTTAGTCGCTCATAAATAAGTGAGTAGATCACTGATTCTTTATTTACTATGGATGCTGGCAACAGTCACATCGTCCAAAGTGAAGGTGATGTTTGACCAGTAATGGTTGAATGCACATAGCACACTGCTTACTGCATGGCTATTGAGACCAAACCCCCTGCAGCAGGGATGGGCAACTTGGATGGTGGTGGGGGCCACATAATGTATGTACTGGCCACCAGGGGGCCGCAGATTCACTTGGAACACACACGCACGCACGCACACACACACACACGCACACACACACACACACACACAAATGTAGTGGCGGCTCAAGTTGCTTACTTTCATTACAGCAACGGTCTGCAAACACACTCAACGTTGTGGTTCACCTGAATTCAGTGAAAAGATATTCTTTCTCCCACTTTTCCTGGAAAACACGATTTTCCTCAGATACCTTTCTCTTGCTCATGCTGACATCCACAGAGGGCTGTGCTCATATGTTACCCGCTCTATCGAAATCAGTCGGAAGTCGCAACGGCTCCTTTCAAAATAAAAAGATTCGATTACATTACCCTCGATTCCCAGTTAGTTCCCATACATTCCCATGGAAGGTTTCCAATATGGAACATTTCCAAAATTCCCCAGCTGCTTAACTTCCCATGGAAATTTAGCGGAAATGTTCCTCCCCTTTGCAACCCTACACGGCGGTCAGGCGTGTCTCTTCATGTATATAATCCAAGGTACAGACAACAAAGACAGATTCAAGACTTGACTTGTGAACGCAAAAGCATTGACGTTTCAGAATCAGGTTTATTACCAGGCAGGTTCACACATTTAGTGTTCTGGTGCTTACATCAAATAAAACAAGGATTTAAAAACACAGATAGAAAACTGTTTGAAGAAAACTATAATTACATTAAAATATATAGTTAAAAATACATTGAATATGGTTTTAATCCTAGAAATAGAATTGAATAAAACATGTGATTCACTTAGATGTGGAGGTTTGAAACTAAAAACATCAAGTGTGTGCTTAAAGAGAATTAAAGAAGCATACATCTCAGAACGACCTCCTCCCTATATTCGATAAATGTGGGATGTAAAATGGAGTGCTTCTGCTAACAGTGTTTATTCCCTTGTCTTGCAGAGAGCTCAACAACATGGGCATCTGGTACCGCATGGGGAACGTACCCCGAGCCCAGGACTGCTCTCACACTCCCTCCACCAACAACATCCAGAATGTGAACTCCAGTGGACCCGCTCCGGTACCAGCCACTGCTATGCCCAAGTATGTGCACTGTAATTCACTGTCTCAGACAGATCTGCATCTGCACACATGTCTGATTCACCTGCTCAGTCCTGGTTCTAAAAAACAGGATGTGTGCTCTCCTTAGAGCTCAATTTCATCACGGGCCATATCAGCATTATGGAATCATATCATATCAGCACTCAAAGGGCCGGTTGTAACTTTAAGACTATATAAAAAAATACATATATAAATATTTAATATATATAAAATAATGTATTATATCACCTTATTGCCTCTGCATTGGATTATTATCGGATAGGGTAATAACTACATAATTAACTACGCCTGAAAGCAGAAGTCTACGGCAAATAATTTCAAATCTCTTCAGTGAGAATTAAAAAATAAAAGTCAAATTTGAGATGCATTGTGGGACATGTAGTTCATGGGCAACGTGCTTCTGTAAAGTAGCATGTAACCGTATAATAAACATATTATATTCTTTGCAAGCTCTTGTGGGGCCACATGAAATTAAGTCGCGGGCCGGATTTGGCCCCCGGGCCTTGAGTTTGACACCCCTGCCTTAGAGGAAAGGGGAAGTTGGGAAATGTGATGCTTAAAGGTCCTTACACCCCGAACTGACACCAAAGAACACGTCCCGACGGACCGTCGCCTCACGTCTCCTGCGTCTTGGCCAACAAAAATACTTCATAGAAATGTTTTTTATATATCTGAGACCTATGCTATTGCCTAAAAACAGCATGATAGGTGACCTTTAACACATGCATCAAACCGCGTCATGAGAAATATAGGATGAAACACCCGCTCTGCTGCTGTCAAGCCGCATGTATTTACACACATAATCAAATAGTCCCAGGCTACCTAATGCCTCCAAAGAGACCACTGCTTTTCGCTAAATGTTACATTGTCGGGAGAAGGAGCAGCACTGAACTAGAAATGAATGAAGAGAGGAGAACAGAGCAGTACATTCAGAGAAACGTTATTTTCTGATCGTTTCAAGGTGTTGCACTCAAGTACATTTAAACACATCTCCCCACAACACCGCAGGAAAGTGCATGAGAGCAAGTTATTTACCGATCCCTTAAAAGAGTTGACTTGTGGTTCAAATAAAGGCAGGAGAGAAAACACCTGAGAGCCTCCAGCTGTTTCCAGTCCGTTCCTCTGCAGGTTCCCAAGTGTTTGTCAGACACAGAAGTAAAGACTTAACTATTTGTTGTGGGAAACAGTCCCAGGTCATAATGCTGTGCTTTTATTCCTTTTGTTTCCAAAGACATATCTCCATGACGCTCCCAGCCAGCTTCAGAGGGAAGAACACGACCAGACCGGACTACGAGCACCAGAACTCCAACCTGTACGCCATCTCAGGTCAGTGCACACACACACACGCACACACACACACACACACACACACACACACACACACACAACACACACACACACATACACACACACACACACACATACACACACATACACACACACACACACACACACACACACACACACACACACACACACATACACACACACACACACACACACACACACACACACACACGGACATACATACACACACGGACATACACACACGCACAGACAGACACACACACACACACACACCAGGCTTGGCATTTCGTCATTTTAGGGGCAAGGCCATTTGGCCTTCCCGTTCACATTTTTTTCAAGGGCACAAAGGCCTTTTGGTTAAATTACGCTGGTCAATCAACATGACTGAAAAGTGTAGCACTAACGTCAACACCAGTCGTTTTACAAATGGCTGAATAGCAATAGTGTTTCTTTAACGTATACGTTAAGTTCAGCCATAAACCACATAAGTCAGTCATGTATTATATCAAAACCGCTTAGCAAGAAAAATACTAGATTCAAAGGTGACAGCTATCTGCTAGCTTGTAGAAGCAACACTAGATGTAGACCCCTTGAAGGGAAGACGTTAGCGCTATCCAAACTAGCTAGCTATCGCTAGTTTTCATGACAAAATGTAACGAGTCGACTTTAAATAGGCTAATACAATGGTAATTACCTATCAATAGTACTTTCTATAAACACGTAAATGTTAAGTCCTTTCAAATACTACCACATACTTCAGTTAAATCATATCAAAACAGCTTGGTCCGCTTGCTTACCTGTGCTTGTCTTGCTCCCGCGGCGGAGGAGGAGGCTGTCGGGCTCCTACAGGCATTTCTGACGGAACAATCACAGCAGAGCAATCGCTCTGATCCACAGACACGGGACTATCCTACTGCGCGCACTAATATGACTTCACTAGCGTTGTTTACACTGGAACTTTTGACAGGGGCACAAAGGCCACGTGAATTGCATTTTTTTTCACAGGGCCTCACGGCCAAAGTGCCATGGCCGTCGTGAAATTCCCACCCTGACACACGCACACACAGACAGACGGACGGACGGACGGACAGACAGACAGACAGAGACACACACACAGAGACACACACACACACACACACACACACACACACACACACACACACACACACACACACACACACACACACACACACACACACACACACACACACAGCATTACGCTCAAAGCCCTGCTGTACAGACTCGTGTTTTAGTTTAGTTCCCCCATAGATCCAACTTCTCTCCCAGTGCAGCAGATTGATGCTTTAAAGGGACCCTCATAGGTTTGGGGGGAGTTCTCCTTCCTGTAGTGTGTTCTATAGACGTAGTAAAAGGTCTGCAAAGGATAACATCCCTGTCAGGGCTCGACATTATAAATGGCCCTCTGGCCCGGAAGCACTATTTAGACACCGCGGGCATGACGTACTTTGCACTTGCCCGCTCGGGCCACTACAATGATTTCTTTAAAAGAAAATGTCCTGTGGTATTTTGACTAGCAATTTAGTTAAATTGTTTCGTTTATCAACGCGACAACAAAGCGTTCCGTGAGTCGGTTGTCGTTGTTGGAGGAAAAGCAAACAGCTATTTGCTGCGGAGCTCAGTGTGAGCAGGCTCCCGTGAGCGGGACCGCGCTCCTTCACTACAGACTATCGCGCCACCTAACCATTCGCCAAAATGTTTTTAATACCAGCGGTAGCCGGGCAAAAAACAATCTTCAAATAAAAGAAAGTCACCGGAGGAGTTAAAGGAGAGTGACAGGGAGCATGAGAAGAAGAGGGAGAGAACGTTTCAGCTTGATCAATGGAGTTGGCTGCAGTGACGCGTCCTAAAACCCTTTTATAATCTATTGATTAGATTTATGATTCGAACATTATAAAAGTAGGGTAGACATGTGGAGATTATCCGGCTGAACAAAACGTGCATTTATCAAACAGGTTTGTTTTCCACAGACCTTATTTCCAGCTATTTTCCAAAACCCTTGTCGAGGGAACCAGCAGCTTACTTCCTGGTTTTAGGACGCGTCACTGCACCTCTCAATATGATGGCAATATAAACAAGGCCTTCTGTCGGCTCTGTACATCAATGCCGACCTATGCTGACAAGGAAGTGAAGAGTAGACAATATAAAGGTATTGGCGAAATGTCCCAGCAGTTTAGGATAATAAGGTTCTAATCAAATCAATTACAGCCATTACATGTCTAACTCCTGATGACAGGAAGGCAGAAAGTGCATTATACTCATACTCATAATAATAGCAGACATTTTTTAACAATGAGCACAATATCATTATTTTAATAAACCAAATATGAACAATTGAGGATAATGAGGAAGAACTGATGATTGAAATGTTGTAGTACAAGTAGAAATGTAGTTAGTGCATAAATTACTATTGCAACAAATGTGTTAATTTTCTTCATTATTAGTCGATTTTTTTTTTGGACGAATGCTCCGGGCCAGAGATAATACAAGTCCACCGGCCCGGAGGTAATGTCTACCCCTGCCTGTGTTCCCTTCAGAGGGAGTTTCTCTCCAGTGAATGAGCTTGAAAATGTATGATCTTCCATGGTCCACCACTTTGCTTTGCCTTTACTATTCCTGAATACATGTTTTATATTTCCGCTCTGCCGCGGCTCTAAAACGGAACTTGTGTTTGTCTCTCTCAGCGATGGATGGAGTGCCTTTCATCATCTCGGATAAGTTTGCCTGTGCCTCGTCTGACGTAAGTAGCCTCACAGTTTCCTCTTGGCTGGCCGCCCGGCCTGATGGAGACTCACAGGTTTCTATATGTGTTGACTAACCCACCGTCTGCTCTCCATGTGCAGCTGCAGCAGGTGGACCTGATGGGCATCACCATCAAGTCACTGGCTGAGATCGAGAAAGAGGTTAGTAGAACAATGTTATTTAGTTACTATATTTCATATCATATTAATAGTATAGATTGTTGGGAAATTAAGTTTATTTCAGATAAACAGTCATTTAAAATCTATCTTTTATGATGACTTATGGCGCATTTCCACTGCAGCACGGTTTAAGCGTGCCGTACCAAACCCGGCCTGTTTTTGGTTGCGTTTCCACTCGGCGTAGTTCCGGCTAGCGGGTACTTTTTCACAGTTTTCTGGCTCTCCAAAATCGAGGTTCTTTCCGGGCCAACAACCGGGCTGAGTATGCTAAACTAGAGAGAGAATAGCTGGCAACTAAAACACAATGAACATATTTGACCGTGATTTAATTGTAATACACGTTTCTAAATGATGCCGAAGTAACAACATACTGATACCGGTTAGTAAAAACCATGAATTAATGCTTTGACAAGTCTGCAGACAGACGGCAGGCGAAACACCTTTTTAAAATGTGTGTTTTCTGAATGGAGCTTGGCTAAGCTAACGTTGTATATGCTCCGACCGTCCACACTGACAACAACGGCCTACAGACATAAATAAACCAGCGACTGTATTCTCCATGACACAGACAGTCTGTGGTTTGTACTTGTTTAACTTCTGTCTAGTTTCTGAACAGATATGAGGAGCTGTGAGCTCTGAGTGCTAACAGCTAACGGCTGATGTTGGTTTTGTGGTTCTCATTGAAGATGACGTCACGGCTCCGCCTACACTGCGTTACTATAGTTACTGCCCCAGTTCCTAAACTGTAATGGAAACGCAGCATAAAGTGAGCCTGGCCTACCGAGGCCTAACTGTACCGTACTAAGCCGAGCGAGGCCCTGCAGTGGAAATGCGCCATAACTAGTCTCCAGTTGCAGGTATCAAACCCTGAGTATACACAAACACCAGTTGTTTAGAATACACATGTCTGTCTATCCAATGGGAGCAGAGCACAGAGACATGTTGATTACATCTGTAGCATCTGTCTGCTAATTGCATAACAATGGTCACCCTACTGTGTGTCAATAGTAGCAGGCAGAGGGACATCAGACATGTGTGTTACAGCTGTGGAGAGAAATGACACCTCAATGATATATTTACAACACACTGTGTACCAGAGGTCATCTGCTGTGTCCCACGTGTGATATTACCTCTTTATTAAAGTCTAATTCATCAATACCTTACATATTGTAACATAGTACGGGCTTTCCCAACTACTCTCCATGAAAGTGTTTCCCTTCAGACACGCTTTGTACAGATGATGACGTCAAATTGTTGTTTTATTTTACAAAATCATTTCAGGTACAGGCACTTTAATACCTACTAAATTCACAGATTCGTTCTTATGCAAAACGCCACTAATCAGGGGAACAAGGTCTGTGATGGGCTTCCAATCAAAGCAGAAAACTGGGCTTTAAAGAAATCACATGACCCCTGGTTCAGTGTTAGTATATTTACATTTGAATATCTTGTCCATTTTTATTGAATTCAAGCAATTGTTTGTATATTGATGTGTTTTATATACAATTGTGATTTTCAGCATTATTTAGTGAGAGGTTTTTCCTCTTCCTGCCCTGTTTATCATCTGTTATCTGTGTGTATTTTAAATTGTGCAAAAGCCTTTAATATGAATAATGTCCTTCCCTTCCTCTGCCAGTATGACTACAGTTTCCGCACAGAGCACAGTGCAGCGGCCCGGCTCCCCCCCAGCCCCACCAGGACCACCCTGAGCTCGGAGGCCTGAGGATCCACACCGTCTTTGTTTTTAATGTGTACAGGAAGTTAAACTCTGAGGATCTGCGTCTGAACCCGCTACCAACGACATTATGATGGGATGGAATCGCTCATTGTTGGACGGAACAGATCCCACTCGTATGATGACTTTAAATACATTTATTTCCTCGAGAGAATCGTGGAGGACTTGTTCCAAACTAAAAGAAAGGATTACATTTTCTTCTGATGGACGGCTCTCTGAAATCCAGTGAGAGCGGCATTATGTCGGCCTTTTGTGTTCATCAACCCCAATGCGCTGTGATTGGCCGAAATCACGGTAACCCCTCCCATTATGTGTGTTGCAAAGACAAAAGGAAAACGCCCCGTGAGTGATGGGGGACGCCTGTCATTGCTCGCTACATATTACTGTGATATACTGGTGTGACGGTGAGATAGCCTTTCACACCGACACCGTACCACAGATTTACATATAAGTGAAGAACACTTTTTTTCAGTACTTCTACTTTAAAATACTATGAACATAAACACATTTACAGACGGTATACTAAGAGGAACACTCGCAGTGTTTCCTCCTTGATAAAGAGTAGAGCCAGGCATGAACTAAGTGTTTGAACAAGTTACATTTAACCAGTTCATTGATAGCGCCTGTTACATTTGACTGTACTGCTAAGTTTTAGTATTAACTGCAGACCTCGGCATTAGAAGCAGAAACGTTCACATGTTACATCGAAAACACTGCAGCTCGCACTAAATCTACAAATGTTGAGTTTATGGTCAATACCTTTGTGGAAAAGCCTAGATGTTAAAGTATTCATTTGTTTTTTATTACCACTACAGACACTGAGGTTTGATACCCAGGTTTAGTTTCCTCACGTCACTCTTAGCTTCTATATGTTACCTTTCTAGGTACACAAGCAAAAAGATGTTACAAATTGCAGCTGGTTTTCCATCATGCACGATCAACGGCGAAGATAATAACTGTATTAGACACATTGATTACAAGGGGAAAAGCACAGTGCATCTCTCTCGCTAATTGAGCTACACTTTGACTTTTATTGTAGCCTGAGGTCGTTTTAGGAGTCTTAATCATTTCAGTTTGAACTCATTTCCCGTGTCAACTCCAACATTCATTATGACCTAGTGAGAATCCCAATTATTCCATACATACATGCATTACATTGTAATCATTATGACCTAGTGATAATCCCAATTATTCCATACATACATAAATTACATTTGAATCCTTATAGCCTGAAAATACTGGATTTGTTTACCCTAATATCAACAGCTGATATTAGTTTTGTGAGCATTAACATACTGGAGGATTGTACAGTGTGGTTCAACTCGTCAGTGCCCTCTGGTGGACAAACTGTGAAATGGAGACACTTGATGGACCTCACATGTATCTGACCTTTCTGTCTTACTTACAGGCAAACATGCCACGATGAAACTCTCAAATATTGCCCAGAGCCTGGGTTCTCTTGTTTAACAAATATATGTCATCATATATATGTTTTTAATATGCCTTTTAATGCAATCTTTTCGGTGTGTTGTTAATTTCAGCAGAAACACGGGCTGCTGGTTTTCTGTACTGCAAATGAAGCTACACTTACTGCACGAATCACAAGTTACATATCGTTTCCGGGTAGGACTTAATGTGAGCGAGATGACTTCAAAACATTAAGACATGTCCTTTATGTTAATGCAGTATTGTGTTGAGAAGCACCCCGTTGGATTATTCACTCCATTTGTTTCTGCAACGTTACCACAAATGCTCGGATTAACTCCTTCTTATTTTATATTTGTGTTCGTCTAATTTATTAGTCATTGCCGCATTGTGAGCATTTTGTCCTGAAGGCTTTGTGGTGTTTTCAGAAATGTTAAAATTGTCGATTGCACTGCTCTCACATGCTCGGTGATAACGCTCATTTCTCCGCAGCTCTCTAAGCGTTGTGTCTGCATTAACAACAGTAACACTCCTGTGTAGTGTGTGTGTGTGTGTGTGTGTGTTAGTGTGCATGCACGGAGCCAGAGGTTTCAATAGGAACGTTATTTTTGTAGGTTATTGAGAAAACGTCACAGAATTTTTGTCTTGTAGATTATCTTCACTAAACAATGAACAAAACAGCATCAGTTAATTTGTATTATAAGGAAGTCGTATTAAACTATGATGAAAGGAAGCTTCTGACTTTGATTTGAGTACGAATGTCACTTTACGCCTGATTTCTGAGCTGGATAAACAATGCTTGATTTGTCCCTAGGAACATTTCTGTCTTCATCATTTTTTTAAACGGTTCAATAATGCTGGCTGTGTTGTTGAATATCTCTTTTATCAACAGCCCAATATCACACACTTTCCATTAGCCTTCATCCTTAAACCTCTGACTCTTCTTGAAAGGGTTTGAGAATAACAAAAAGGCCTTGTGGAGTCATGAAGATTGCACAAAAGGTCTCAAGTTAGTTTCTATACTGGGTTCCATAAAAGCTTCAAAGACAGATCACAGTGAGCCTCAGAAACCTCAGCCTCTTTGAGTTAGCACACTCTGTTTCAGCTTCATCTCTGTGTGTGTGGTTGTATCAAACACAAGTCAATTAGCTCTCCAGCAAACATGTGGCTTCTCTACAGACAGCTGCTGCCACCGTGGAGCTTTAACAATAGTGAAGTAACCAATAACAACAAGTGGAAACTCGTCATGTTCGTTTGACCTGACTTTATCTGTTGTTCTCAATCACAGATACAGATGTTCCAGTCAGTAGTTTTAGTAAGTGTGCAAACCATAATAATCAGAGAAAGTAAGAAATATGTTTCAGAGGTCAAATGAAATGCTCATTATTTGGTTGTATATATTTCGTTTTAGAGCTATCAGTACTACGCTCTATAGAAGGTATAGTTAAAACACACAGTGCTTTGTACTGGTCACACCACACTACTTTAAGACTGTAAACTAATGTTCCACAGCCTCTCCAGCAGCTCACACACGTCTCTGTAAACACACTGGTTATAAAATGTTTACAAGGTCGAGAGCTGCCGCTGGTTTCCTGTGAAAAGGTTTTTACAGCTATCTCTGACAAAAGCTGCTCGTTAAGACGATGGAAAGATGGAAATCAATGTGTGGGGCACATCAAACGCTGTACGTCTGCAGGCGTGTGATGTTTGATACGATCTAACCTCTGTTTTCTCTTCATGTTTTATCAGCAGCTGTGTGCAGAGGAGCTGATAAAGTGTGTTCATTATTCTCCGGCTTCAGTAGCACCACAGAGGAGTTCTGCCACCGAGTGACTGCAGATTAAGGGTTGATGAAGTTTCTATCAAATAGCTCTGTCACAAATGTAAGTTTTAGTTTAGATATGTATTTAAAGTTACATATCTATCTCTCTGCAGGTGTACGTGAATCTATTTGTGAAGCAGAGAAAGGCACCACATTCACTGTAGTGATTTAGTGGCTCCAAAAGTCTCCTCTGCCGAAACCAGGGATCGAACCAGGGACCTTTAGATCTTCAGTCTAACGCTCTCCCAACTGAGCTATTTCGGCACAAAGGTCACCTAACAATGGTCATTAAAACAACAGCTCAAACCATGTGCCTAAAACCCTACTTTTAAACCAGGGATCGAAACCAGTGACCTTTAGAAATGCAATCTAACGCTCTCCCAACTGAGCTGTTTACTCACAGAGAATGCACTACAAAGGCAGTCATTAAAACACGTAAACAACCCCTGGTGAAAAAGACAGGATCTTCAGAAAGTGCACTTTAAACTAATACTAGATGACAGATTGGCTTCTAATTAGTATTCATCTGAATTTGTAAATTGCCGGTACAAGTGCACCTGTATGTCGAGCAGAGAAAGGACCAAATCAGACTGATATCATCCAGCTGCTGTAATTATGGAGGCAACTTGTGCCTAAAAGTCTCCTCTGCCGAAACCAGGGATCGAACCAGGGACCTTTAGATCTTCAGTCTAACGCTCTCCCAACTGAGCTATTTCGGCACAAAAAAGCTACAAAACGATGGCAGTCTTCCAAAAACTAAAACAACATCTCTTGAAAAAAGACAGCATTTTCAGAAAATATATTTAACCAATACTAGTTGACATATTGGCTGTCAATTCGCATTTTACTTTTTTACATTGCAGCCTATGAGTAAACCTATGAACAGAGGAAGGCACCAAATGAGTCTGCTATAATCCAGCAGCTCGAGTTATGGAGGAAACTTGTGCCCAAAAGTCACCTATTTGTAGTCAAAAGTAGTCGTTGTGCACATTGGTCCATTTCAGAATAATATATATGATATGTTTTATAATGATTGATCATGAAAGTGTTCTCAAAGCTGGTGAAGGTGCAGCTAGTTTGAATGACTTTGTATACTGCAGGGTAGCTGGTGGATTTACTCCAGGTGGAACTAAAGTCTGATTCAACACTTGATTATATTTCACATCATTCACATCTGTAAAGTAACTAAAGGGATTCAATACATGTAGTGGAGGAAAGGTACAAAGTAGACAAATGTGGAAATACTCAAGTGAAGTTCAAGGTATCTCAAAATTGTACTTAACTACAGTACTTGAGTAAATGTTCTTAGTTACTTCCCACCTCTGTGTATAGTATATGCTGAATGACTAATGAACCACTGCTCACAGAAGTGTAGTTACTAATTACAACATGCCCATTCATACAAGAGTCGTTTAACAACTTATTTGAATGACTGTTGTCAATCGGATGTATAACACATGGCTGTTGACATTGATTAATATAATA